AAGTTTTATTTAATTATTTTAGTTTTTTATAAAAGTAAATCAGAGCCAAAAAAGTGCAAAAATGCAGGCAAATTTGCCTGTATTCTATTACAATCTAAGGGATAAACAAAACTTATCATTATTCTTGTATTAAATAAAGCTCTTTTATATACTATTAAAGAACTTTTAGAAATTAGCTGATTAGGGCTTACTAAGTGATCACCTCAACCTATTTCCACCTACCTCCCACCTGATATCCAATCAGCTAATCAAATTTTATGTTTATTAAAACTTATAATAAAAATTATATATAGTATAAAATATTGAATAACTTTCATCTACTGAACTAATTGGGATGATTTAACTACTAAAATAATCATTTCATTAAGAGAATTCTAACAAATCTAAAATTATAAAAATGTAATTATTAGAAACTAAGATATAAATAGTTCTATATTATTATATAATAACTTAAAATAAAATATATTTATAGTAATATAAATCTAATATTATCATAGAATCTAGTAATTAGATTTTTGTAATCTTAGGTTTGTTAGAATCCTTTTATTAAGAAAATCATTTTGGTAGTTAAATTATTTAAATTGGTTTAATAAATTAAATATTATTAATAATTATGATTTTCTAATTAATTATTAATAAATTTATAATTTAACCTAAAATTTTTTTTAATTTTGACTGAAACTTAATAATTTTGATCAAAATTACACCTAACATATTAGCTAACCCATTCACTCACCCCTAAATCAGCTGATTTCTGAAAGCCTCCTTACTATTTGCCTGCTGTTATATAATTAAGTAAGCAACTACACCTTCACTCTGTATATATTTGCAATAGTTAATCACTATACTAAATAACCTAGTTATTTGGTTATATTTTACTAAGAAGGCTACAACCCATCTTTTTGCTTCTTTGATATACAAATAATCAACTTATTGCAATATTAAATTAGCAGCAATTGAATTTAATAAATTAGTAAAGTTTTGAAAAAAATATCAAATCAATTACTAGAATTAAGCAAGATTGCTCAATATATTTGGTTCTGATTTCTTCATGTGGAGGTGAGCAAAGTTTTTCTAATTATAATAATATCTTAACAAAAAATAGCCAAAATCTTGGATTAGATTTATTACAAATCTAAATATAATATATTTTAATTAAAATTAGATGAAATTTTGATTTGAATTACAATAAAAAACATTTTTTGCTGTTATTTAATTTTTACAAAATCTATTGAAAATTTTCAGGGTCCCTGGATCAGACCTACATCGACCATTACGTGTCACGTGACTCACGTGACACATCGTTCGTCTCGAAGTCATATTGATTTTATACATTTTTTTCTTTTTTTCTATTTATTAATTACGTCGTGAGCTTGCAATTCGATTAAGCATCCCCATGTTGCATTATTCTGCAACAATGGTCTTCAAACAATCTTGAAATGTCTTCAATAAGGTAGAATCGTTTGCCGTTAGGTGTGGACAAATGTTTGATCTTTCCTTCATCTGACCATTTTCGTAACGTGCTGATTCCGACTAAATGGTTTTTGAATTTTACCAGCGGGAAGATACATTTGTGGATTTGATCATTGGTAGGAGTGGAAAACCGTGGTATTTATACTTAAATCGTAAATGTTTACTCACCAATCATCGCGTGAATTTATGAATAAACAAAAAGGCGATGTTAGAAAGTTCTGGTAAGTTCTATCATGATATAACAAAAATTACATAAGTGTACTACGAAATACTTTATTAAACATTCTTCTAATAGATAAATATATAAATAAAAATGAACCAATTATTATTATTTGTGTTTTATAATTTTATATCGACTATCATAAAATAATTTTTTTTAAAAAAAAATTTTTGAAATTGGTATTTTTTTTATGCGACTAATCAGTGTTTCTTATCATTATTAACAAAAGCATTAACATCAAATCCAATAAACAGAAAATTATCAGCATGACATTGAACAGCATATATATATCATACATATTGAATATAATTGATCTTAAAAAATTTTATATAACAGCTATTTACATTTTAATTAGATGTTTAAAACGGAAAGAAGATTTATATCATAAGGTAAATCGCCTTGTTTAATTGTCAATTCTTATTAATTGTTTGTAAATAAATTCTGGTAAGATTATGTTGTTTAATAAAATCATATTTTACTTCTTACTAGACCAAACTATATAATTTGATCTTATTTTTTTGGAGTCACAACTCCAACCAAACAGCTAATGTCATCTTTTTTTCCACCTTGATGATATAAACCCTCACATGATGCCCTAATTTGGAATGGGCTTGTAACATTGAGGTCTTCACTTACAGTTCTAGCACGCCAAACGAGTGCATCACTAATTATTTGAGGTTCAACCTGTAAACCCCGTTTTGGGCAACAGAATGGAATAATTTCATCCAATATATCTTCATCCAATAAATTATCAAAAATACCATCTGAACCCATGACTACAATATCACCACATTGAATTTTAACAGTAAATGTTTGTGAATCTTTAGGTGTATCATTTGAAGCACTACCCAATTGAAATGGGTAGTTAAATGAATGTTGTTGTTCCTCATTTCTAAATATGAAACTATTATGACGAATAACGCAAATACCGCAATCTCCAAGGTTTGCAATACGAAGTTCATCATTTCGTATAATAGCTATTAAAGCTGTTGATGAACCAATTATTCGCTTTATATATATACAAAAGAATTTAAATCGAAAAATAAATTAGATGTATTCTACAATGAACAAATAAAAGATAAAATGACTTACTTCTAAAGCGCAATCACGCATACTTTGTTCATAGCTGGTTTGCAAAATATCTACAGGGTTTACATCATCATAATGATAAAACTTTTCATCATCATATTTTTCAAGCTCCGCACACGCATAGTGCATCAATTTTCGAGCATAAAGAGCGGAATTAACAACTAGAAAAAATTTTTTTCAAAGGTCATTAGAAGATGAGTGATGAAGGTTAAAAAGATCATAACTAGGAATAAATATAAGTTACCAGCATTAGATGATGGTGCAACGTTACGCCAACCACCAACACCATCAGCTACACCTAAAGAATCACGACGTCTAAAGAAACTATCTTCACCACATTCAACACTATACCACTTTCCATCACATACAGTTGAAACAAGTTTATCAGTATGTTTTGGTATACCAGATGCACCATGATTAAATATAAAAGTTTCTATTCTCGTCGTAGTTTGGAGATGATTATCAAAAATATTTAATAATGGAGGCGAAGAGAGAGTATCTTCTTGATATTCAATAGGTTCGGCTGAATGAGTTTTATGTGTTCTTTTTGATGAGTGAAAATTTGAAGCACTATACGTGTGAAAAGAACGACGAAGGATCTGAGGAAATATAAAAAAAGGGGAATTGCTTTTTCTTCTAATCAAAGCATCGCAATTAGGCAAAGCAGCCGATGCAACAAAAGAGGAATCGAAAAATGAAAAGGAATTTGTGCGGGGCGATGTAGAACGAAAAGAATTTGAAAAACTAAAAAAGGAGGAAATGAAAGAACATGAAGGAAATTGGGACTTAATCACAGCATTTATTTCCTTTGGACGAAACGTTGGACATAAATTACGTGGAATGAGTAGAGTGGAAAATTTCACCGATTTCTTCATTAATTGTATTTTTTTTTATCGATGAAATTTAACCTCGGTTTTCTAAGTGCAGCAAGAATGTATAGAAGTTAATAACGATAATGTGGTAGCAAGGATATGTACAATGAACATATCATGTGATTCTTCACTCAATCGTCATTTGACAGATTCTTTATCATTAATGATAATGATGTTGCCAGTCAAGGAAATAAAAGATTTCTTTTTACCTTGATTTAACATACGGAGAAGTGAAGTTTCTTACTGATCCAAATACTCGTGAATTATTTAATCTAAATAATTAATTATTGAATCGAAATCTTTAACGGAGGGCCATCAAATAATAATAAATACGAGAAGTTGGATCAATAGTTCGTACGTAACATGATGAAAATATCTTACGAAACTTTAACCTAGAAAAACGCCTTTGAATTTGAGTAACTAGGATACGTAACAGATAAGAAGGTTACATTATTACACAAAGTGATTTTTATGTCATAATATTATTTAATATTGAGTTTGGAAGGATTAGCAGAATTGTGTTCCACGCTTATCAATAGATAAGATGATATCCAAGATAGCTATTCTTTTCATAGCGATAAATTTAGTTTGTAGTCTTAGATTCGCGTGATTATGACAAAATGATCAGACGATTTGGTCATTAATCTCATAGTAATAAAATTTACTATGCAGATAATAAAAAATTTAGCTTTACAGAAAGTTTAGTATGTACAATAAGAATTAAAAGTAAATCACGGTTAAAGAGTAAAAAAAAAAAAAAAATTGTAAATTTAATAGTATAAACCGTCGAAGTTAATATAGTTTGAAGTGCAGCTAGCTTACGATGAAAAGTTTTTTTTGTTTAAGTAAACTTGGGTTTCTAATAAATATTGTTGAGCAAGCTCTAATAGGAGTAGAATTAAAATTGGTAGATGCGGTTTTACTTATTATCGGCATTCAAAAATAATAGTAATTTTCTACTATGAAATTTATACTTTCGACTGCAATCTACCACTTAATTTTTGTCACTAATATATACAAATTTTTTTTGTTTTTTGTTTTTTTTGTACGTGGATTGACAAAAATGTCGCGTCAATAAAATCCAGTTATACGTGGAAATATTTTTAAGGTGGGGGTGAGTCAGTAGAAACGCACCAAATCTTTTTTAATGAAATTTTTTTGAATCTTTAAACAAAAATAACTCAACAGAAGCTTAACTAAATTTAATACAATTTTTTAAAAATAAATTCTACAAGTATATAGAATTAATTTAAAAAAAAAATTTATTAAAATTGCTTAAATTATTGTTGAGTTGTTTTTGTTCAAAGATTTAAAAAAATTTACTTAGAAAAAATTTGGTGCGTTTCTATTGACTCATCCCCAGGTAATTTAAATCTATCAAGGTGGCGAGGCTCAGCTTAACGAACCATATCAGCCCGACCACGCCTTATTTTCTACTCATGCACAGCCACTTATAAACATAACAACAATTCTTTGATGCATGTAACAGAAAAATATATATAAGGATGAAAATACCTGCGCCAAATTTAAATTCTTTACTACATGTCATGATTTTTAATTTGAAGAGAATTATTTTATACGCGTTATTCGTGTTGTCTTTTGCAGCTGCACATCCATTTCATGTTCTTGAATCACGAGAATGGCACGATCGAAGAGTTCCGAATCCTTTAGTTGCACAAGTTGTCCCCACGGAAGGTGCTGTTGCCAAAGCTCCGACCACCACCTCTGTGATGGCTGCAAAGTCTCCAGCTTATAATTCTGCAACCGTAACTAGTATAACTTCACCAACACCACTTGTACCAGCACCACTTGAACCAGCACCACTTGTACCAGCACCACTTGTACCAACACCGCTTGTACCAACACCGCTTGTACTAACACCGCTTTTGGCAAAAGAGATCAGTAATCAGGTACCTCCAATAGGTGCTGTCGCCGTAGTAAAGCATACATATCCTCCTATAAATATTTCCGAGATTGAAGCAGCTGCTGTATTAATACCTGCTGCCGCCGCAGGTGGAACCTCTAATGCTTTGAATAATCCACTCCTTCCCTTCGAACAAAATACGAAGTCAAATATCAAAACTCGCACTCAATCAACACAAACTACATCTACAACTTCATCTACTTCCACTACAACTGAAAGCACCTCCACAACGACATCTACTTCTCAACCTCAGCAGTCTTCTCAATCTCAATCTCAGCAGTCTTCAACTAGCGCCGCAAATTCTTCAGTGTTACAGGCTGCTGCCGGAATCGGTGTCGGTTTAGCTGGTGTGGCTGCTAGTGCGATTGGCGCGTTCTATTACTTCAAAAATAAGGATAACAGTGATCAAAAGAATAATGGCGGAGGTGGTAATGGTACTGGTAAAGATGATAAAGATGATGATAAACCAAAAACAGGAATTAAAATTGTTCCTCATGGTCCCTCGTCAAAATTTGTTGATCCTGACGATGACAATGATGCTACTAAGTCTTCAGCGGGGGAAGACACGATTTTCGGTTCACAAGCTGCGTCTACTTCACAGCCTGAATTAGTTCAAGATACTGTAGGGTCTGTAGGAATGGAAAGACATCACTCTGACTAGATTTTTAATTTGGCCACTATTTATATATTTTGCACTATACATTTTATATTTTATATAGCGTTTAATGTACATATTAAAGAATAAATGCTTAGAACTGTTTAATGTTAATGTTGTGTTTCAACAACTTAATGTAGATATTCATTCTACAAAAGTCATAGCTTGAACTAATAATAAATTATTACAGTATTTATCATTATATGGAGGGTGAATCCAGTAGAAACGCACCAAGTCTTTTTTAATAAATTTTTTTTAAACCTTTGAACAAAAAATAGCTCAACAAAAGCTCAATCAAATTTAACACAAATTTTTTTTATTTTTATCTCCCTCCGCTATCCTGAAGGTCCTTAGACACCTTAGGATCTGTCACATCTTTAAGGCCAGAGTTATCATTCAGTGAACGGCCGGTGACCTCTGAATCATCACCGTACTCGTGAGATAACTCATGCTCCATTAAGTCCATCATTTGACATCCCGGTTCCCTGGTTAACACAAATTTTTTTAAATGAACTCTATAAATTTATATTATATTTAATTATGTTATTGTTTGTTATTTTCGTTCAAAGTTTTAAAAAGTTTACTTAAAAAATTTGGTGTGTTATGGGGATGGATTGGTCCCAAGTCGGTCCTGTCGGTCCTAAGCAGATTGCAAAATTTTGTTCTTCATGAACCACTAATTAAAGTTGTTTAACAAAGTTTAATAGTACTTAATTGTTGAGACATAGTGAAAAATGCTCAAAGATTCAAAAATTTGCAAAATGTAAGTTTTAGGACCGATCTTGGGACCGATTTAGAACCGATACAATCCTATATGTTAGAATAGGTTTGCTACTATTTTTCAATAAGTACAGTACTATTCAATTTTGGTTTAAATAACTTTAATTAATGGCTCACGATCTCAAAAATCTTGCAATCTGCTTAGACCGATTTGGGACTAATTCATCCCTAGTTTCAACCGGTTTACCCCCAATATTTTCAATTCTTTTTTTGTCAGATTTTTATTTGCATGATTTACGTCAAGCAATAAATCATTTTATCAAAACGATTGGATATTCTTTTTTGTATTCTCACTTAAACTATATTCCAGAAAAGTATTTAGTTTTTAAATAAAATAACTCGATTGGCCAAATAAATTGACGCATCTAACTTTTATATATTAAATTTATAAAAAATCTATAATTTAGTTGCAATTGAAAAGGTTGATTTAACCTTTAAAGACTTATCCTTTAGTATTTAAAAATTCTTTATGCAAATTTCAAATATTAATTTAAAATAAACTTAAACCCGATTTTAATGTTAAAGTTGAATGATCCTTTATTGTTCTTTATGTATCAAGTTATAAGACACTTTTATTAGCGGGATTTTTTAATGGACTTAATGTACCGACAAATGAAATAATAAAATTTTAACATTTATTATTAAACTTCATACCATTTTAAACCCATACCCAAAGAATTCTAAACATAGTATAATTATAGTATTCATTAATTATAACATGCGTTCAAGTTTTTCTTATTCTTTTACAACTTCGCTATCATCTCCAAGTCTAACCCTAGCTTTAATCTCAAAAGGATCATGAAATCCTTTACGAACAATCCAGCAGATCTCAGTTACATCAAATTCAATTATTGGGTCTTGGGAAAATATTGATGAAAATTTTTCTATAGCCTCTTGCGCTGATTTCTATTTCAAAATAACCGAGAAAATACGACAACCGTTAAAAGTGAATAACTGAAATTGCAAAATTAAATAATTTCAATGAACGAACGACTTTACCTCGCCACGAAATTGCCCTAACGATAAATGCGGTCTAAATCCCTTGTTTCCAATTTTTATCAAATCGTCAAATCCTGGAAATCCAAAATTTTCATATTTAACATCATTTCTCTCATCAATATTAATATTATCTTCACAGTCGCCTAAATCAGATCTTCCAATTAATCTATATTCTAACTCAACCACAGCATGCTTCAGATAACTTCAGTTCTTTTGATATTTCAGCCGCTAACGATGCTTTTAATATTAGTGAGGGTTCGAGGTCAGAGATTACGGACGATGTGATATTACAACATTTGAAAAAAACATTATATCCTATCCATCCGTTCAAATTAAGATTGCAAAGTTTGAGTTATTTCACACATGGAAAACGAAGTTCAACTGTTTGGCTT